AAGTTCTTTACATCTTCTTTCAACACAGTGGATGTAACTCTGGACTCCAGTACCGCCCATCCAAGACTGGTGCTGTCATCAGACCTGAAAAGTGTGAGGCTCCTGTTCAGTTACTAGACCATTACAATCATGCTGAAATGACTTCCTGTGTCCTCTTGTCTTGGAGCCTCTCTTTTAGCATAAATAGAGAACAGTAGAAAAAGAAGATGTAAAATCTCCATGAAATGAGCTGTAATTATAAATTGTATATTTCTGCAGGTGAGGTGTGGAGATCGACACCAACTGGTGCCAGACAACCCAGAGAGGTTTGAAAAAGTTGTCTGTGTTATAGGGAGGGAGCCAATCTCTTCTGGAAAACATTATTGGGAGGTATGAGGGTTTGCCCTTTCCAAGAGTCAAAAGTCTTGAAAATCATTGCTCATATATTATAATTCAGTTCTTTATTGTTGATTAAACTTGATTCCATACTGCTTTCATTACAAGATACAATTGTGTTCTAAATAAACAAATGTTGGCCAAACATCTTGGCTTCTTCAGACTTACATGCGTTTCACTATTTGAGTGAAGGATTGTGGTTTGTTTGGTTTGAAAAGGTGGACGTGACAGGGAAGACTGACTGGGACCTGGGTGTGGTCAAGTATTCCGTCAGCAGGAAGGGGAAGATTGAATACACCCCAGACAATGGATTCTGGTTCCTCAGTTTAAGAGACAAGTGAGTTAAACACATTGTTGAAGAGTTCTCCAAATTATTGGCCGTTGTAGCTGAAGGAAAAATGCTTATTTCCCAAATGGTTGGCGGTGGTTCCCAGAAGCATGCTGCTTGTTGTCACTTTGGTTGCTAGAAGATTGCCACAATTGCTTGCAGATTTTCATGTGTTTCTGCAAGTATGTGGTTAACTACTTGTGGTAATACAACATTATGGTGTGACACAAACTGGAAAGGGAGAAGGTTCACCTTCAAAGTAAAAGTTGTACCTCAGAGCTACAGTCAACATGTTTCATATGGTACAACTTCCACTTTGAAGGTGAATGGTCTCCATTTGCAGTCTGTATATATATTTTTAGTTTCAATATAGGTCTGAGAGAAGCTAAACAGTATTTGTGGATAAATCGTTACTTAGTCACTTCCATTTAATTATGACCGCAACATATTGTCCAGCGCAGTACTGTAGTATAGACCTATTTAACACCATATACAGTTTACACAAGGCAATTTTATTTCTTATATGAATTTTATTTATTTTAACGGTCATAAACTGGCTGTGACACGTGACAATAATAACAACTGTACTCCATTAAAACATTCACAGTAGGTGGTATATCCAATCTTTAAATGATGACCTGATGAATCCTGCTTCTGGGTCCAAACTACTTTGCGTTTATTAAGGCTGTTGTGTTTTTAACATGTTTTAATGCTTTGTATCTTGTTCTATTTAATCTGAACAGCCCCCTAAAAACAGCCAGTGATCACTGTTAGCCTCTCTCAGTTTTTATTATCACTGTTCATTTTAAAGCTCAGTTTGAAAACCTTACAATGTAACTATAGCCCAGTTTAACCAGAGCTTCTATGTACCCTCTGGTGGACCAGTTCTAGGTTTGTGAGGTAGTGTTAAAGGGAGAATGGTTTACAGGAGGCAGGTGAGTTGAGGAGAACGCTGTATTATCCCACAAATGATAGCACTGCAACATAGACACAACTATAGCTGGCAAAACAATTTATAACCTAAACAATCTCAGTCATAAAATTACTGTTAAGGGTCTCTGAGTCTCCACATGGGTGTCAGTGATACAAAGTCTCAAGTCAAGAGTCAGAAGAATAAGTCAAGTCAAGCTCGCTTTTTCTTGGAGAAGAAGATGAGAAAAAAAATCAGAAAAGAAGATTTAGTGGGTGCACCCTCAGGTCTTTTTCTACTGTCAGCACTGTTATGTGGTCTGGGCGTGTTCTACCAAACCGCGAATCTTCAAATCAACTAAGGACGATCATTGCGGCAGACAAATTCTAGGGCCTGGGATGGTTCGACATCTCCTCTCAGAGGAGAGTTCCAACATCTGAAATCCATGAACAACCACAAATGGGATGGAAGGGGGAAAAAAA